TATTGGAAAATCATCATTTTTGTTGTGTAAAACCTTTATTCCTGATGATGACATGATTAATGTCGAAATATTGAATCCTGACACGATGGCGTGCATTTCGATACTTGGAGTATGTATTACACTATCTTAGAACCTTTATTGTATTGAGATTGAGTTTCCTGACATATATTTTTTAAGTGCACATCAACACCCAACAGCTGCAATTACATAATATAGATATAAAAATTACATAATACTACAGGATGAAACTGTTACCCTTCAGATACCATGCCGGTATTTCTGGGACCACTATAGCTTCCGGGGGCCAAAAACAAAATCATTTACCAGAAAACATAAGGAACATAAAATTAGATTGCTTGATTTGGAGTTATGTTAATGTTAATCATAATGATTAATATAGTCTGTTATCTACAATCCAAGTTTTATTAGGTGAAACTATCCCCCGCCGGAGACCATCCTAGTACTTCTGAGTTTAGGGTTAAACAAAATCATTTGGCAGAAAAACATAAGGTGACATGAAATATTTTGATACTGAGAGCTATGGATAAGGCCTTTTTTTGTATTTTGTCATTGTAGAATTATTTCTTATTATTTCAATGGGACCATTTCGGAAACAAGCAGAAATGCTTTAAGGGTTATCCTGAAATTCTCTAATTGTTAATTTTTTTTTTTTACACTTTGTTTACCTGTAAGAATTTCGAAACAAAACAAATCATAATAATGTCAGATTGTAGATAATGGATTCACATAATAATAGGCACTTCTCATAAAAAATTAAAAGTGGGTAAATAATTCCCTGTTTAACATCATCATTCTGAGTCGAGGCTAAAACAATATTACATAATTGACAGATGAGTAATTTCACAGTAAATGGACATGATATCCTAACATTTCCATGGAAAAATATAATACAGATGATTTTGGCTAAACTCTGTGAAACAACATATGATATCAATGTTTTGGAGAAGGGGTATTATAAGATAGTTAAATTATCTTTTCAAAAGAAATATGCATGTTTGTATTTTAATACACTACAAATCCTATTCCCATATAACGGACGAACAGGATTTTGACATACATTTGGGTCAATGACTTTCCATTGTGGATGCACCAAAAATAAAATGCATGATTAACAATTTTTTTTTTATTTCTTACTGTATATATTTACTAATTTGATAAACATTTAAAAGTAACAGATATATTTCTTTTTTAGGAATATTGGGCCATTTTTAAATTCCTAAATTTTTTGACATACAATGTTACGTCCGTTACAAAAAACCATCAAATTGCATATTTTTTTAATAAAATGGGTTTTATTTTTCTTTCTAGTGTTTTATCTTATTAGTTTCCCATATATTTCTTATAGAAATAATGAATCCATCCTTATAATACAATTTAAAAACAATATCCTCCATCTAATTTTAGAAATTTTTGTCATGTAACATTTTTGTATGGTGAAATATGGCTAAAAAGTATGTCAATTTATCATTATATTTTTTACTGTGAATTGTGTGATCATGAAATTATTTTTAATATGTATACTCATTGATATGATACATATGTATACTCATTGATATGATGATATAAATGTAAAAATATTTAATTTTAAACAATAAAATCTTTAGTTATAGCTTCCTAAAAAATATTGCTTGGAGCATGTCTATTTACTGTGAAATTGCTCAGTAAAGGAAAAAAAAAAAGTGAGCTTAAACATGACTGCCTAATTTTGAGAGCTATAATACGGTAGTGGCTATCGGCACTGCTGCAGTGCCGATTTGGCACTGCCGCAGTGCCAAAAAAAGCTGCTGTTTTCTATCGGCACTGCCGCAGTGCCAAAAAGCTGCCGTTTTCTATCGGCATTGCCGCAGTGCCAAAAAGTTGCTGTTTTTTATCGGCACTGCCACAGTGCGAAAAGCTGCTGTTAATTAATCGAATCGATGTTTTTATCGATAGATGACATTGGTATAATTCATAATCCATAATTTTATTTCACTCAAAACATAATGAGACTGGTTAGGCAAAAACATGTCCCTGTACAAGATGCCTTCCAGAGAAACAATGATCATTGTTAATGGCAAAGACATAACAATAATAACAATAATAATAATAATAATAATAATAATAATAATAATAATAATAATAATATTAATAATAATTATAATAATAATAATAATAATTTTACGATAGTTTGATTAATGAAATAGTAATAATCAGCATATTACATAAAATTCCGTCTATGCGAAACCTGCTTTTAAATAAAAACGTTATCTATTTGATTCTGTTTTAAAAAATAATCTTATAAATTATAAGTTTATTTTCTGCGATAATTTTATGCACATATGCATATTCATGTTTTCAATGTTAATCTGGTTGATAAA